CTTCTGTTAATGTGTTAAGCTGTTATTTCTTTCTCTCATTATCTTTTGTAGTGTTGATTGTAGTAGGGAAATAATTCATTTGTGGCACTGGCAGCACATCTGTCATAGGGACCTTAAGCTTGAAAATACACTCTTAGATGGCAGCACAGCACCCCGTGTGAAAATATGCGATTTCGGACACTCAAAGGTACTCCACAAATCCTAGAGTACAGATCCACGTTAGGGATTCAGGTTAACCGGACTTCGAGTTATTAATTCTTTCACTATGTTTTGTAGTCAGTACTGCATTCTCAGCCAAAATCTGCTGTAGGAACACCAGCTTATATTGCACCTGAGGTCCTATCTAAAAGCAATTATGATGGAAAGGTAAGTCCAATTCTTGTGCATTTTCATTGACTATGTAGCTTGCTATTGCGTTAAGCATCTTTCGAATCTAATCTTAAGACATTACAGATTTCAGATGTTTGGTCTTGCGGAGTCACCTTATATGTGATGATTGTTGGATCATACCCCTTTGAAGATCCTGAAGAACCTATAAACTTCAAAAAAACAATTGAGGTCAGTGACATTACAACCTTTTTGACTAATAAAATGGAACAGAAATTAGATCAGATTTGCTAGTTCTTTTTTGAGTTGTAGCTAACATGCTATATGTGTCTTATGGCAGCGGATCCTTAATGTACACTACTCAATTCCTGATTTTATCCGAGTTTCCAAGGAATGCAGACATCTCTTGTCTCTTATATTCGTAGCAAACCCCGAAAAGGTAATTAGAGTTAATCACAGGTTTAACTTAAGCAATGAACTTTGGTATACTGCTAACTAACACGAGGAGTTTCCTTGAGTTCTGTTTCTCCTCCTCATTCTTACAAATATCTGGTTTTGGCTACTGAGGTTGGCTTTCTCATTGCGGCCTCTACTTACATATCCTTGCAGAGAATAACAATCCCAGAAATTGAAAGCCACCCTTGGTTCGTAAAGAACTTACCTATCGAACTTATGGAAAAAGTCGGAAGCTGGCAGTGCAAAGATGCAAATAATCCATCCCAAAGCGTTGAAGAAGTTCTATCCTTAATACAACAGGCACGAAATCCTTCAGAAGAGGCCCCAAATGCTGCTGGTAGGCCTCTCATGGGAAGCAAGAGCATGGATCTTTGATGATTTGGATATTGCTAATGTTGAAGATATTGAAACAAGTGGTCATTTTGTATTTCCAAATCTGAGTAATTAAATTGTATATACAAATCAGTTTACATTCTGGCATATTAGAGCATGTGCACCCCAAAAGGCTAAGGCTAAGGCAAAGGCAAGGCAAGGGCTGCCTGCCACTATTCACGTGAACAGTGGCAGCCTTGCCTTTATTGGTTCCACTCCAAAAGGCTAGGGCAATGACAAGAAAAAAAGAAAGAATATGCAACAAAATATAAACAATTTAGAAATGCAAGAAATAAAATGATTATGCAAGAAAGAAAAAAAAAACATGCAACCAAATATAAACAATTTAGAAATGCAAGAAATAAAATGATTATGCAAGAAAAAAATAAATATGGAAGAAAATATAAACAATTTACAAATATTGGAAGGAGAAGAGTTTGTATGAGGATTTGGTGTGGAAAGTGAATAAAATTGTTATGTATTTATAGGGAAAACATCCATAAATTTATTTTTTTTTCAATTTTTTTGGCTCGCTGACGTCAATGCCTTCGGGCTTGAGCCCAGGCAGTAGGAGTAGCATTTTAGACCGAAAAACCGCAAAAACAAACCGATAATTTACCGCAATAGCAAAAAACTGAACCGCATTTGCAGTTGCGGTTGCGGTATTTGATTTTCAAAACTTGCGGTTACCGCAAACCGCGACTATATTTATAAATAAATAAAAATTGTATTTTGTATATAGCATTGGTGCTCAAACAACACAACGGGGTCCTTCAAATCCACTCACCACCACCAACACTTGAGTTTGTAACTTTAATTTATAACATTGGTGCATTGCATTTTCCTTTTAGTTTGTAACTTTAATTAACTTTGAATTGAATTTTTCCTTTGGGTTGTAACTTTAATTCATTTTGCATTGCATTTCCCTTTTGGTTTGTAACTTTAAAGAATTTGGAATTGGAATGCTTGAGAAGTTGAGGTTATGAATGCTTGAGAAGTTGAGGAGATTGAGAATTTATATATGCTTGAGAAGTTGAGGTTGTGAATTTATATTTTTAAATTAAAGTATGCTTGAAATCAAAAGGCTTCAAAAGAAGCATCAAAATTAGGCATACAATGTGGAAGATTGGATTTTTATGACACAAAAAGAACTTGCAGTTTTAAACCGCTAATTCATGGTAAATGACCGCTTTTTGCAGTTTCAAAAATCACCATACCTCAAATAGTCGGTCGGTTTGCGGTTTGAGCAAAAATTCACGGTTACCGAATCACAAAAACCCCTACCAGACAGGATCTGCTTTTGGGCTTGCTCGGGCTGGATTGGTAGCGCTGGAGGTCCAAACTTGGCATGAGGGGGCCTGTTGCCCTGGCAGGCCTCCTGCGCTGGACATGCTCTTACAAGCCCCATCTACAATATTCATTTTCAACAAGTCTTCATCAGGAGGTTTTATCACCGCATCCTATTTGACCAAAAACAGGAGGAGAAATTAATTACCCTAAATCCAGCCCATATTTATTTTCTATACGTAGGGCAAATGTTGTGTGCACAGATTGTTTAATTCACAACTTCTAGTGACTTTAAGGATATGAAATATAACCCAAGATAGAAAATTGCAGCTAGCCCATTGAAAACAAATGAAAATGTCTAAAAATATGCCCCCAGCCCCTGGTTTAGTTGACCAAAGTTTGTGCTAAAAGTCCTCTCTCTTCACCCCTTTATTTATCACAAAGGTGCAAAAAAATCTATCATCAAGAGCAATGGACACCAACTGTAGAATGCAGAAAAGCAAAATCCAAACGCTGTATGAAGCCTGCAATCTTTTATTTTCCCAGAAAATGCTCCCAACTTCCCAACAAGTTCAATGGCTGAAAATTTTCATGGGTATGATTTACTTGGTCATTTTGTTCATGCTTGCACTTATGTTTACATTGGACTGAAAGATTTATAGGCTCAAATTTTTATCACACGCAGGCACGTTTAAAGCAATAGATGTTGGAATTGACGAATTTGGTTTATGTGGATCGCCATCTACTAGCCCAAGGAGAGATAAGGGACTGATCTGTGGGCAAAGCATCTCCCAAATCACTTACATTCACATTCATGAATGTCACCATTTCTCTGTAAGTAGAGTTGCCCTAGCCCGCGCATTTATCAGACAATTAGATATATTATGTTGTCAAATCATCGATCAAAATTGCATTTATTTAACAGTCTGGTAACGTAACATATTGATAAAATGTTATGAGCAGATCGGCGTGTTTTGTTTCCCGGCTGGAGCGACACTTCCCCTTCATGATCACCCTGGAATGACAGTCTTTAGCAAACTCCTTTATGGTTCGTGTTATGTTAAAGCTTACGATTGGATCAACGGAGGAACTACTTCAGGCTTCAGAACATGTAAGAACCAATCATAATTCACTTCATAAAGAAAAATTTAAGCTGCAAGATTTAGTTATTTTGATAAACCTACTACATAAATTTTGGCAAAGACAACCTTTGATTTTGTGTTCTGTCTGTGGGCGCAGTTGGATTGGCAGGCAAGGTTTTAGATGGCATTATGAGGGCACCATGTGAGACTAGTGTACTATTTCCGACAAGTGGAGGGAACATTCATTCTTTTAGTGCAGTAACTCCCTGTGCTATCTTGGATGTATTGTCTCCACCTTACTCTGAGGAGCTTGGCAGGCCTTCTACTTATTTCTTGGAATTTCCTATTTCTTCTCTTCCTGGTAATTAAAACAAATTATATATCAATCCAATTTTAATTATAATTCTAAATTGCACATGGCTGATTTGGTCATCTGTCCAGTTTATGGAGCAGGATATGCAATGCTTGAGGAAGGAGAGCTACAAGATGATCTGGTGGTTGCTGGAGCACCATATCTTGGCCCTCCTATTGATGATGCTGGCATTGGCTGTTGTTGCCTTCTTGACTTTGCCAGTGTATAGTTTTATTTACTGCATGATTGATAGGATTGCCATACAATGCTTAAAACTTAATGAAATACAGATAGGCTCGGCTTAAGCCAAGCAGAGCATTTGGATTGCCAAAGAAAGTGTGCATGTGTTTTAATGTAAATATTGCTGCAATTTCCTAAAGTGGCAAATCCAAATGGTAAAGAGTTTACCTTACACCTGTGGTTTTGTGTTTGAATCCCCCGTCTCCCATATCACTTATTAAAAGAGTTTATAAAACATATAAAAAATCAATCAAATAGAAAAATCAATGGATCATCTAAATAAAACAAGCAAACACAATTATTTTATAACATTAAAATAATTAGACTAATAAACAAATGGGTAATCAATCTATAATTGAGCTGATTTCTTAGGTAAACAATTGTTAAAAACCACTTAAAAAAATTAGACAATTCCCATCATAGCGAATTCAAAATAGTAGTTTGTGTCACATAACTTGGAAAATACTTTATCTTGTTTTCACCCAAAGAGAGAGAGAGAGAAAAAACATTCTCTTGTTTCTTTTTGCATGAAAGATATAAAATTTGTGCAAAAATTAATAAATCCATTTTTGGATAAAGCAAGCAGCTGCATGCTTACGCTGCGCCTTACAGTGGGCGTGACCGCAATGGCCCAGAAACGTGGGCTTGACTTGACAGTGGAGCAATAGAAAAGAAAGCGCATAAAACATGGTTTTTGCAAAATACGAATCACTGTGACTGTCATTTGGCCTTTTTCCATTATCTGCAGTAAAATCTCTGTCCTTTCCTCTTTTGGGTCATGAAATGTTCATCTGTGAAACAAATTAATATGAAAAATTTCTTAACTTTCACACCGCTTGACATAATTTACTTCCAATCTTCACGAAAAAAAAAATCCCAAATTCCATTTTTAACTTTCACTGCATGCCGTCAAAGACTATTTGAGTTTGTGGCCTCTCACCCTCAGCTGCCTTTGTGAAGACTTTTTAATGATATCTTTCACACCAACCCTTTTTTCCACTTGTCCTCCTAAAAGGGCTATCTTTGTTTGGTGCAAAGCCCTCTGCAACCCTTTTCACTGGGAACTTGGATGTGCATGTTGCTGCTGCTGTTTCATGATCTGGTTGTCAGCTCTGTTTGAATTTGTGTTCATTGCTGTTGTGAACTTTGGAAATTAATTGGTCTAGTATGGAGAGGTATGAGATTATGAAAGATATTGGGTTTGGGAATTTTGGGGTGGCCAGGCTGGTCAGAGATAAGTTGACCAGAGAGCTCTTTGCTGTTAAGTTCATTGAGAGAGGCCAGAAGGTTTGGTTCATCTCCTAAACCTCCTTTATCTTCCTTTTATTTTTGTGAATTCTCTCTTTGTAATTTTTATTTATTATTATTTTTGGTTCTTTGAATTTTATCTGGGTATTGGGTTGTTTTCCCATTTATTTGGTGATACAGATAGATGAACATGTGCAAAGGGAAATCATGAACCACAGATCATTGAAGCATCCCAATATTGTTCGATTCAAAGAGGTCAGTGATTATGAATTATGTGGCTTGATATCCATAAATGAATTTTCCAGTTTTCACTTTTCAATTTGAGAATGAATTTTCCATAAACATATAGCATGTCTTTATACATAAGCTGATTGTTCTTATCTTTTGTCGTGGTCCTTTGAGAGATACTGATAAGATGTTCTCAATTAACTTTGCATAAGCATTGCCTACGTATCTGTTGAGGTTGGGTTGAAGACAGAACAGCTAAAATCATGCCTTTAGTGTGCTTAAATTGGTAGGACTTATTAAAAGTGTTGTTAAAGTATCTTTGTTAAGAACATGGACTCTACTTGCTGTCAGTATTTGTTAATGTGAAGTGAAAATAGTCTCTACAAAGGCCTATTTCCGATAAACAGGTTTTTGTTTAAGAGTATTGGGGTCTCTTTCTTGCAGGTCCTTTTGACACCAACTCATCTAGCCATAGTAATGGAGTATGCGGCAGGGGGAGAACTCTTTGGGAGAATATGCAATGCTGGCAGATTTAGTGAGGATGAGGTAAAGTAACTTTGGAGGGGTAGAGAATTTTATGGTATCATTTGTAATTTAGAAATGTCCCCGTGAAAATGGAATCCATATAGATTTTCTTTTTCTTTTCCCTGCGGCTCCAGATTTTCTTTTACTTTCAATTGTTAAAGAGGTGCATCTTTTTAGTTCTTTTTCTGAAACTCCTTTTTTTTTTTTGGTTGCAAATTTGTTGTTCTTTTGCATCAGGCAAGGTTTTTCTTCCAGCAGTTGATATCAGGAGTTAGTTATTGTCATTCAATGGTATGGAATTTGGCACTCTTCTATTAATGTGTTGTATACTGCTATATCTTTCTGTCGGGATCTTTGGTAGCGTCGGTTGTAGTGAGGAAATAATTCATTTGTGGCAGCAAATCTGTCATAGAGACCTTAAGCTTGAAAACACACTCTTAGATGGCAGCACAGCACCCCGTGTAAAAATATGTGATTTCGGATACTCAAAGGTAATCCACAAACCCTAGAGTACGGATCCACATTAAGGATTTGGGTTAACGAGACTTTGAGTAATTAATTCCTTCACTTTGTTTGTAGTCAGTATTGCATTCTCAGCCAAAATCTACTGTAGGAACACCAGCTTATATAGCACCTGAGGTCCTATCTAAAAGCAAATATGATGGACAGGTAAGTCCAAATCTTTTGACTTTTCATTGACACTGTTGTTTGTTATTGCTTTAAGCATCTTTTGTATCTTATCTTAGAGGTTATAGATTGCAGATGTTTGGTCTTGTGGAGTGACCTTATATGTGATGATAGTTGGAGCATATCCCTTTGAAGATCCTCAAGACCCCAGAAACTTTAGAAAAACAATTGGGGTTAGTGGCATAACAAACTTTTCTCCAATAAAATGGAACAGAAATGAAACAGTGCATATATAAAAAAATTCTAATTCCTTTTTGAGTTATAGTTAACATGCTATATGTCTTATGGCAGCGGATACTTAGCGTACAGTACTCAATTCCAGATAATGTCCGAGTTTCCATCGAATGTAGACATCTCTTATCTCATATATTTGTAGCAGACCCCAAAAAGGTAATGTAGTTTTTATTTTGGTGCTGAAACTACCAGATATCTAGACTTCACCACCACAGGTTTAACTTAATCAATCAATCAATACCACCACATTATCGCAAATATCTGGTTTTTGGATGCACATTTCGTGTTGAGATTTATAGGTTCAGTTTAGCTTTCTCATTGTGGTCTCTGCTTATATCTGTTTGCAGAGAATAACAATCCCAGAAATTAAAAGCCACCCTTGGTTTGTAAAGAACTTACCTATGGAAATGATGGAAGGAGGAAGCTGGCAGACCCATGATGTTAATAATCCATCCCAAAGCATTGAAGAAGTCCAGTCCATAATACAAGAGGCAAGAAAACCAGTCGGGGTACCAAATGCAGCTCGTAAGCCTCTCATCGGAAGCAGCAGCATGGAACTTGATGATTTGGATGCTGAAGATATTGAAACAAGTGGTGATTTTCTATTGCCAAATATGAGTAATTAAAATGTGAATACAAATTCTACTTGTGAAGTCATGAGTATTGGATTCTTGTGAGGCTCCTTCTTTTGAATTGGTCTGATACGTGGCCCTGAATAAATGTATCATTTTGTATTTTCTTTAACTCTAAGGTTTTCTCCAAATAAAGCATAACATTATTTCTTTCGGTTCAAATCTTAAAGACAATCAGAAAATGATGGTGTGGGGATTGTTTAAAACGGTCGTATCTTCTACTCTGTTGTGTTAATAACTACAATGTCAGATCAAATCTGAACCCCTGATCCCTCCACATTGTTGACAATTTTAAACCTAATAATGGAAAATTATTGTGTATCGGTTATGAACTGAGTCAAATTATAACACGGATTGGATTTAAAACTACGCGGTTCTCCTCCCTCCCTATACCAAAAAACCTGTAATATAAAGAGCAGAAGGAAAGCATTAGGACACCCTGAGAAAGCATTCCATCAGCCAAATTTTGGGCTCCTCCCTCCCCATACCAAAACAAAAAAAACAAAAAAAAACTCTCTAAACACTCTGCTTAAGAACAATCACCATCCCCTTCAGCCTTCGGAAGGTGCACGAAAGTTCAATTCGGTAGCTGAAGAGATTGTGATTCGTGCTAGCACCCATCGAAGCTCGCAAGGACAAGTAATCTTCCATTTTAGTATCATTTCATTAGGTATATTCTACACTCTAATGCATGGTTTTTATTTACATATATGCTTAAAAGGGGATTTGAACTTTGAACTTCGATTTAGGGATAAATATATTCGCAACCACTAATGGCCATAGCTTTTAGGAAGGGATATTCGGGTGATCAAAAGGTGTCAATGGGACCTTCATTCATTGATGAAATAGAAGCTTTCTTCTCCTTTTGAAAACCAAAAGGCCGATCAAAAGAAAATTCCACCGCGTTTTTAGTTTTGATATTATCCCAAACCATACCATTATCAACAGGGTGAAGCTAACAACACCTTTTAATCCAATTAGTTGATGTGGCCTGCCCTATGGGCTATAGGACCCCCAATGGCATGCCTAAAAAACTTCCAACCGCAACACGGTAAACTTCAGGTAAACTTAACTTCAGCAACACGAACCGCGTTAATGCCCTTTCTTATTTCGATTTTATTGTTTTTATGTGTATGTCTCTCCCTTCACGTAATGAACGTCTAACGTGTGAGTGAATCTGAGGAGAGAAAACTTGTAATGAACGTCTAACGTGTGAGTGAATCTGAGGAGAGAAAACTTGTAATGAACGTCTAACGTGTGAGTGAATCTGAGGAGAGAAAACTTATGCACCATGAATCGCTTTGAATGCAAAATTCAAAAGCCACGATGTCCGGGACCCTCAATGACCCGGTAACAATAAATATAATAAAGTCGATCCCCTTTACTTGTCCTTCGTTTCTAATTTCAGCCTTATCTTCCAAACTCCTTCAATTTACCAATTATTTAAAAACACCCCTTTATTTCATCAAATAAAAAACGCCCCTTTATTTGGTGGCGTAGGTAGGTGTTCAGTTTTCGTGTCGATCTTGAATTTCACAATTGCCTCTCTAGCCATTCAATTCAAAAACTTCCAAAGGTCTGCACTTTCTTCTTCTTGGTTTCATCTGATTCCCCATCAAGTTTAGTTGCAGAACAACAATGGCCTCTGTGATCATTCCACCAGTGCTTTCTTCTCCCAGGGACGATGCAATCCAACTCCACCGCGCCTTCAAAGGGTTTGGCTGCGATACGACCACCGTCATCAACATCCTCGCCCACAGAGACGCAACGCAGCGAGCCTACCTCAAGCAAGAGTACAAAACCATGTACCATGAGGAGGTCAGCAAGCGCCTCTCCTCAGAGCTCAGCGGAAACACCAAGAAATCGGTCTTGCTCTGGATGCACGACCCAGCAACGAGAGACGCCACCATAATCAGGCAGGCTCTGGGCGGAGAAGGTGTTGTTGATCTCAAAGCAGCCACCGAAGTCATCTGCTCAAGAACCCCATCTCAGATCCTGCAATTCAAGAACATCTACTTTGCAACTTTTGGGGTTTATCTGGAGCATGATATCGGGTTTCAGGCTTCTGGGGATCACAAAAATTTGCTGCTTGCTTATGTTGGGACGCCGAGGTATGAGGGTCTAGAAGTTGACAGAGCGACGGTGGAGTACGACGCCAAGGCTCTGTTCAAGGCAGGGGAGAAGAGGTTGGGGACGGATGAGAAGACCTTCATACAGATTTTCAGTGGGAGGAGCAGCGCCCATTTGGCTGCTGTGAGTGCTGCTTACCATAGCATGTATGGGAGTTCACTGGAGAAGGCTGTGAAGAAGGAGACTTCTGGGTATTTTGAGCATGCCCTTTTGACCATTTTGCGCTGCGCTGAGCATCCTGGGATGTATTTTGCCAAGGTTCTGCACAAGGCTATGAAGGGTTTGGGCACAGATGACAGTACTCTTTTGAGGGTGATTGTTTCAAGGGCTGAGATTGATTTGCAGTTCATAAAGGCAGAGTACAGGAAGAAGTATGGCAAGACTTTGAGTGATGCTGTTCATTCAGAGACATCTGGGAATTACAGGGCCTTTCTTCTGGCTCTTTTAGGCCCCAATCATTAGGCCAAATATGAATAATTGCTGGGCATGTAAGGGGCTTTTCTGGGTAAGATTTTAGGTTTTAAATTCTGTGTTTTTTAAGCTATGACTCTTTTTTAGTCATTTTCAGAACCTTGAAATTGGGGAAGGTAGATGTGTGGAGCATGATCAGAAACTATGGCATGAGCAGCAAGTTGTTGTTCCTTTGTTTGAAATGCTTACTGTTTCATGCCTGAAAGATTGTGTAGAGAGCTCCATAAATTTCCCATCGTTGCTTTGCATTTGTAGGTTTGAAGTTGTGCAATGATATGTACAAAAAGATTGTGAACCAAAATTGACACCGACCACCCATGGTAGTGGGGGTCAATTTTATTTATTACCCAACCAGTATCACTGCGGTTAACAGTGGCAGAGCCACGTATGAGGCTTTGAAGGCTTACCACCTACCACCTGAGTTTTCTGTCAGGAGCAGACCAGCTGTCTGGTAATGTATCCAACCAAACACACAATCTCCTTCTTACAATGAGTTCACGTGAGTAGGCCATACAATAATAGCAACTAGTCCCTGCCAATTGGTTTTAATTTTTAATTTTTAATTTATTTTTAGAGAAAAGATAACATGGTAGTTATGATTCATAAAAATATGATATATTATCTGATTTTGTTTTTAATTTTAATTTTTTTAATATGAAAAAAATATGAATTTACCATATTATTCTCATTTAATTAATAATTTCAATTCTAAATATTTGAATTAACCAAGGGAATTTTCTAATATTTTGAATGTTTCACCATTCTCTGTCTTTTACTTTACATGTATAGATAAATTACGACATAAAAAAAAATCACAATATGCTTTATTTACTAAAATTAGGAAGAAGAAAAACAGATGTACAAACGTAACACATTTAAAACAATTTGTATAATAATTTTAATACAAATTTATAAATAAACCCAATTATATTTATAAAAAAAACTCAAGCACTATTTAAACATAGAAACACACCCAAAATTAACAATTGTATATTTTTTGGGTGTGTTTATAAATGGGTTTTGAGTGTGTATAATGATGGGGTTTGAGTGTATTTATAAAGTGTTTTGGGTGTTGAGTTTTTTTTTATAATTTCAGCCCTAATTTTGAGTGTTTTAGTGAAACTCCCAAATTTTAATGAATAGGAATAGATTTGAAAAAACAAAAAACAAAATTTACCAATTTCTTAGTTACACATAATAACATTTTCAAATTAAACCAATTCAATCCCTTCCACGCGTGGAACTTCTTTATCTATGTTTTATTGTCTTGTTCTATCAATATCTCTTTCACATGGGCCAACCCAACCTATGTTGGAAAAATTTGATGATGGATGCTACTTTCCTGCAAAATATCATATGAAATAATTATTAGAAAATTGTAATTTATATTGATAGAGTATATTAAATAAAACCAATGAAATTACAACAAAATACTTATCTTTCAGGAGATGGAAAATCCTTCTCCATTAAGGCTTGGGTAGAATAATAGCTTTAGGTTGAGATGTGTCATTCACTATCCTTAAAAGTAGATTTCGCCCTTTGAAGACGATGTCTCGATGTAGCAAGGTTGTATGGCGTCATATCCTTCAAGATACATCAACCTTGACCCTCATAAGCATACACTCGCAATACTTGGGTCGGGTGAACAAAGGTTGCTTGAAACATGCTGCTCCAATGTTGCTCCTCCTTTCATCCAACTAGCCTAAGGCTTTTTATAATTGGTTGTCTTTAGGCATTGTACCATTCTAATAAAACACATGAAAAGGTATGCCCCTTTTTCACAACTTAATAGCTATAATTGACAAAAATCAATATAGCAATTGAAAACAAGAATTGGTCAAACAAAACTCATAAATTATTTTTGGATTCAAATCTTTAAATGAAGACGACGACATGAAAATGATATTGAAAGCAATTATAAGACCACACCAATAACACAAAATTAAAACCCGATCAAATAAGATACTAACACTTATATAATATAATAAATTCATAACTGTTAAGTTCATATTACACAATAAATACACAAAATAATTTCAATTTTAAAGGGAAGAAAATACACACAAAAATCTGGAGAATTAAATTCAACATAATTAAGTAATGAAATTTCTTTTTGTAGCTTGAAATACTCGCAAAAATTCCAACAACCTATGTGTGCAATGAATTTCCATCTCCTATTGTCTTCTTTCAATAATATTTTGAACTCTTGTCCATCTCTCTTCATTGAATTCCCTCATATGTCCCTATTTTTTTCCTATCTTCATTCAATTATGATTAGACATGTAGGTAATCTCATTTTGTCATCTTTCCATTTTACTGGGTGGGAATCTTTGTTTACCCTACTTCTTATATCTTTGTATCTTATCATGATTTCTTCTCATCTTCTTTTCCAACCTCATTACCTTGTCTATTTAAGTGGAGTTATTATCCAACCAAACACACAATCTCCTTCAATATCATTCTCCTTCTTACAATTAGTTCACGTGGGAAGGCTGTACAATAGAAGCGATAAGTTACAACATGAAAATAAAATCACAATATGAACTTTAAAAGTTGAATAC